TTTCCAAGGTCTTCACCGACATATGTCGACCTTTCCCTGATCTCTCAAGCTTCCCGAGCGCGTCGCCCGTCTCTACATCATGTTCCTCATCATGCGCTGGCAGATTGCACCCAGCAAGGAGAATCTCGACCGGCTACCATCTTGGGCCCGTGCCCGTCCCCGAGCAGTTCTCGTGTGAGCACCCGGCCTGGAATCGACCACCTGCCGTTCCCCCTTATGCGTAGCCACCTTGCACGCCGAGCACCTCAGCCCGGACTACATGTTCGACATGTTCTTTGTTCCCTTCACCGCCACGCTGTCGCTCAATTGGCCTTATGAAGAAACGGACACGCTGCTTGTCGTGCCAGACTCAAACGACGTCATGATCAACCCCGTCTTCGAGCGCCACATGCGCCGGCTCGAGAACTGGACCCTTGGGGACGCCTTCGCCCAGACTTTCCCGGGGCTCGAAGGTACGTATAACTACAAGAGCTGCCGGCCGCGTGAGAGGCGGTAGGGTTTCGTACGGGGAGAAGCAGCAATGCACTTTTCTGTCTTCTCCTCCACGCGGCACTCGAGACCATGCCATTGGTCATTGTGCCATGATCTTCTTCTCCTGCTTTCTTTCACCTATTATTGACCTATATACTCGTAATAATCAGGCAACGTCCTGCAGCTGGAGGGACGGCGTTACCGGTTGTTCGATGGGAACGGCCGGAGGAAGGGGGGTGGGCAAAGGAACCGAGATTCCTTGGAGTTTTGTTTTTTAGAGGCAAAGCATGTTGTGTTTGGACCACAACTCAAGGACTTTGGGAAGGGTGGTGGAAAAACACATGACTAAAATTGGGTGGAGTGAAGGATATGGGAAAAGCAATGGGCGAAGGGCAACAGACTTGATCTGGGCAAACATGAAGATCAAGGGGGTGTCGTAGGACGGAATTTTTGGGTTATTTGTGTGGGCCCCAGCGGCAGGCCCGCCGCCATAGAAACGATGGACCTATTCATTAACCATCATTATGTATCATCAGTTCATTCGACGTGAACAACGGTAATCTGAAGGGACATCATGTCTCTGGTTTCGCCAGGTTATAGAGTATATATTTACTATTGAGACATCCGTCAAGCACATACGACCATACCTACTGGAGAACTCGGGATCCCGTCCGCTCTCCCATAGATAAGCCAGTAAGGGTCGAACTAGTAGTTGGGTGGGTGACCACCAGCGAATCCTTGATGTTGTATGTTTTTTGACTTTTTGATGTTCTGTACGCGACCATACTGAGAATCGTCGAGTTCTGATGTTCGAGACTTTCCTTTTGTGAATTGGCCAATTATTGTGTATTTGTGGTGCTCAGGTGCATCTTAGCCTATGGCATCAGTGGTCGGGCGGCCGCATAACAGGTCGCATCCTGACCAGGGGGCGACGTCCTCAACCTCAAAAGGCCTCTTCCAGGCATGATGATTGCACGCAAGATTCTGTGCAAGACTCCAGGTGCAAAAGGTTTCATCTGTACGATACATCCTGTACGAACCGTGGTGGAATATTGTTTGTATCATTTTGCATGTCAACCAGTCGCATGCATTACGAACCGGAGCGCCTGCCCCTGTCATACTCATCTGACAACCTGTCCATGAGTACCCTCCCTGAGTCCCAGCCGTCGTCTTGCTTTGTCGATAGCGACACCTATGGATAGTCCGCTGGAAGCATCCTCCCTCGCACGTTTCTGACATGGTAGCTCTCATCTCAAGCCTCATCATCCTCCCCGCTCACGCCCACGGAATACTTCTTCACCACACCTTGATGACCGATCCAGAGACTCGCATGCCTTTCCATCGGCATACTCTGGAACACCAGGCTTCTCACCGGGCCCCTCGTTGACGCACGATCCACGGCCGGGGCGCGCAATCTCAAGCCCGAACGCAGCGAGTAGAGAGCCACGCGGCCGTCGTGCGTATCGTGGGCCGCGGCTACGACGCCCACGTCCTGGTTGACGTCGAAACCAATATGCGTGTGCGCTTCATTGCGGTATTCGGGGAAGGTGAGCACTGGTGTTGCGGGCTGAACCACGGCCGGGCCCGAGGGCTGCGTGAACCGTCCGCGGTCGCGGCCACGATTCCTCTTCTTCGTCCGTGGGACTTCGGAGCGGGTCTGGGCCGCTGGTTCCGTTCTGAGGAAGCGGAGGTCGTAGATATGAAGGTTCGATCGCAAGGCAGCGACGAGTATGTGGTTGGGATTGGAGTCGAGGGAACGTAGATGGGTGACGGCGCTGGCAGTTTTAAAGCAGCTCCATGCCTGTGGGGGAGCACGGAGGTCGAGCGTCCTCACTATGGACGACCGGGTCCCGGCGTAAAGTATGGAGGGGTTTGCGACGTTGAAGGCTTGGGCAAGGACGTCCATTGAAGGAGGCCTTTGGTGGGCCCCATCAGCTTTGGGTGTGATCCAGCTGATGTTGTTGTCGGACGTGAGGCGGATGATGCCGTCGTCGGTTGCGAGCGTACAAATCAGTTCGGACGAAGTAGTTGGGGCTGGGGTGGCTAGATTGACAGAGTACGCACGACGGCCTGGCGCCATACGAACACTCCTGTAGTGGTTGGCTGCTATATATGTTAGTTGCCGTATCCCAAAGAAGAAAGAGCCTTGCTCAAGGAAACCATACGCAACCTAGGGGACCCGAGCTCCCAGAGGGGCCTATCCTCCGTGGGCGAAGTTACTCGCGGTGTAAAAAAGTGAACACCAGGATCGGTTGACGGCTCCCGCGTCGTGACGAGGATGCGATTAGAGGGTCGATGGTAGCTGATTGAAGAGACCTGATTACACTGAACAGGCTCCTCGTAGACTAGATTGGTCGTGGTGACGCGTTGCTGCGTCGGTGAGGTTCTCCGGCCCACTCTTGGAGTTGTCAGAAGTCAAGACACGGATTGATACGAGGAGAGCACTGACATTCCACTGCTGTCTGTATGAATATACGTGCTTCTTACAGAGGAAGACTCTGACAAGGCTGCTTCATTCGATTAGCCACCTCACGTATCGCTTCATCGCCGTCACTCACACGTGTAAGCAACCCCAACCCCGGTTTTCGCGTCTTCACCCCCAATCCACAAGCATCCAAGATTCGGCATGGTATCTCTTGGAACGTTATCCACGAATCCCACGTGGTGCCGATCAACAAGCCCTGATGCCCATACTGCAGCAGACACCTCGGCGTCTGGAGATCCGATACCAAGCTGGCGGTCGAGGAACCCACCAAGCAGCGGCTCATGCAGAGCCCTTGCTCGCTTCACATTGCGCTTTGTCCTTTCAGCGCGGGCGTGCTCGGCGGCGGTGTGCTCGCTCTCGATCTTTCGACGCTTGACATTGGCGGCAGACCAAGCGGCAGAGGCAGGTGCCGAATGCGACTTTTCAATCTTGAAGTACTTCTTCTTGACCTCATCTACATGACGTTAACATCGAAGTCGGGTTCGGCAAGAATGATAAGGAATTACCGTAGTAGTAGCCTGGCAATGAAAGGCTCATGGTGGGTGTAGTGTTGAAGATAGAGCTTGCCAGAGGTGGATTGAGATATCACGTGTTTTCAGCGTCAGGTACCTATGCCCAAAAGGTTTTGCGCGCAGAACTGCGACATCACAACTCGCCAGCCTGAACACTGACTGACACGCCTTTGGCGCCCATTTCTGCTTGCAGCTTGGGTCCTTTGAGAAAGCCACTCCTAATCCGAGTGCAATTGGGTGGTGAAGGTGCACAATTGATCTCCTCAACAAAACATTCAGCCCATCGCTGCTCATTTTCTCGCTCCGCCCCACGTATCGCGTGGGAAACGCGACGACCCCAACCACCTCACCCCCTTCCACAGATTTAGAGACACACGAATCATCCGCGATGTGAACCCGCAGCGTGAGGCCCGCATAAGCCCCAAACTCAGTTTCCCAGACCAACCGAACAAGAGCAAAACCCCCATTCTCATGCATCAAACACCCTCAGCTATGCCGTGCCGTGATCCATTGACCCCTCCATCCAGCCCAACAAGCTGCATGAGGGGAGCTGCCCCTCCCTCCCCCGCCCACCCCTTCGCGTGACGTATCGCTGAACCCCCTCCACCCCGCTTCACGTCCATATCAAAACCTCACCATCCCCTCATCCTGACCACACAACCCATCAACTCGCTACGCACGAAGCACGACATAGTCCCGGCACCGTGTCCCCAGTAGCCAGCCCGCCCAGCCACCCACTCACGCGCCCGCCTCGTCTCGCCTCGGAGCAGACGAACCGCCCAAGATGGTCTACACAATCACAGTGCACCTCTACGCGAACGACCACCCGGACTCGATCGACCGTATCAAGGCCAAGCTGATCGAGGCATCCCGTGTCTACGTCAATGACCGCGAGACGGTCAACTGGTTCGTCATGCAGGACGTCCACGACCCCCGCGCCTTCACCATTGTCGAGCGCTTCGAGCAGGAGAGCGTGAGTGCGGTCCGGGCTGTAGTGCCCGCTTCCATATGTGTTTCCCCTGCCTTGTGCCGTCGCGCTGACAAGATCCGTCGCCACAGAGCCAAAAGTACCATCTCGAGAACCCGTACTGGAAGACATTCGACCCATATGTGAAGCCTCTCCTGGAGCGTCCCATGGATCTTAGGCGGCACGAGGAGCTCGACACCACCAAGGACGTGGTCGTGCCACAGTGAGATGTCGTTTACGACAAAAGGGAATTTGGGCGTGACCAATTCTTTGCCGCCACAAACGCAATACTTAAGGAAAACGCGAGACCGAACAGTCACAATGTGATATAGTCATAGTATTTTTACTGTTTTGGTATTAAAATCAAAGTCTAGGGTATGACGCCCCCAACCACTCCATGCTGCGCCCCTCCGACGGGACGACTTCACCACCGTTCGACACCGTTCACTAGGTAATCATTATCGATGTGATACGGACATCGCATAATCTAAACACAGGAAAAGAAAGGTTTATGTCCATCGAGACTATCTCCTCTGTACTTCTCCGGTTCCGAGCGTCACCATTGTTGGGTGGTGACTTGCGCGGTAGCAGCGAGATCGGCCGCTTACTGCGACTTCTCGTGCTGGGTGGAGACGCGCTGCAGAGAGACAACGAAGTCCTCAAGCGAGCGCTGCTTCTGGGAGCCCTTGGGGGACTTGCCGTGCATCATGTTGTCGAAGCCGGCGTTGTCCTGGAGGATGTAGTAGACACCGGCGCAGACGCAGAAGACACCGAAGGAGAAGATCCAGATACGGACGACGGCGACAATGCTGGTCTGGCCGTGCTCGAACCAACCAAAGATACAGAAGAGGGTGGCGAGGATGTCGACGATGAAGATAGCACCGGACAGCTGCCACGAGGGGATGGAAGACCAGAAGGGACCGTTGGCACGAGTGATGAAAATCAGCCAGTTCTCAGTAAGAGAGACCTGGAGGAAGACAACCTCATCCAGGTTACCGAAGTTCTGGACGATACCGCCGTTGGGGCCGTGGGCGTACATGGTGGTGACGGTAATCCAAGTGCCGATGGCGAGGACAATGCCGAGGATGACAGAGATTCCCCAAAGCTTGGGCAGGTTCCACTTGACGGGAGCCTTGCTGTAAGGAGCGTTGTCATAGGCGATGGCCAGGGTGGCAATATCAGCGAAAATGGCGATGAAGACGACGAGCTCAATGTTCAGCGAACGGTTGAGGATGGCAATCCAGAGACCGAGGTACAGCTCCATGTGGATGGACAGAGCAATACGGTAGACAACGTAGGAGTACATGCGGTGGAAAATCTGGCGAGAAGTCTTCAGGGCGTCAATGATGGCACCAAGACCAGGGGCAAGGAAGACGATATCGGCGGCAGAGCGAGCAGCATCAGAGGCACCCTCGACAGCTGGGACGTGTTAGCGAAAGGATCGAGACAGGAAGAGCGAGCAGCATAATACATACCAATACCAGTATCGGCCTTCTTCAGGGAGGGAGCATCGTTGACACCGTCACCAGTCATGGCAACGAGGTAGCCACGCTGCTGGAGAATCTCGACGACGTTGTACTTGTGCTGGGGGAAGACCTCAGCGAAACCATCGGCAGCCTCAACGAAATCGTAGACCTCAGAGCCGGGCATGTCACCACCACCACCGAGACCAAGACGGTCAGCGTTGAAGATGTTGGTACCGAGACCGAGCTGGCGGGAAGTCTCACGGGCAATGCCAACGGCGTCACCAGTAAGCATCTTGACGGAAAGACCAAGGTTCTTGGCCTCGTTGACGGTGCGGGCAGTGTCGTGACGAGGGGGGTCAGAGCAGGGCATGATGCCGAGAATCTCCCAGTTGCCCTCACCACGCTTGCGGGCGACACCAAGCGAACGGAAACCACGGGTAGCGAACTCGGCGACCTTGTTCTTGTAGGCCATGTCGATCTCAGGGTCAAGAGGGTGGTCCTCCTCGACAGTCTTGAGAACGAAGAGAGGGGCGCCCTTCACGCAGGTGATGCGCTCACCCTGGGGAGACTGGACGACGGCGGTGACCTTCTTGGAGACGGGGTCGAAGGGGAAGAACTCAAGGACGGAGTACTTGGAGAGAACAGACTTGGCGCGAGGGTAGTAGCGGAGGGACTTGAGGAAAGCCTTGTCAATGGCATCAATACCCTTCTTCTTGCGGGAAGCGGCCAAGCAGGCAGTGAGCATAAGGTCATCGGGCTCAACGGCAGCGACGGTGTAGGGCTCAGCAAGAGAGAGCTTGTTCTTGGTCAGGGTACCAGTCTTGTCAGAGCAGAGAATCTCGACACCGGCCAGGGACTCAATGGCGGACAGCTTCTGAACGATGGCCTTCTTCTTGGCGAGGTAGGCGGCACCGACAGCCATGGTGGTGGTGACGACAGCGGGAAGACCGACGGGGACACCGACGATGAGAATGGCGAGGGTGAAGCGAAGGATCTCGACAATATCGTTGGAGCGGTAGAAGCCAGAAACCCAGACGATGAGGAGAGTGGCGACGACGAGGATCAGGAGAACAGTACCAATGCCGTTGAGGACCTCAGTGAAGTGACCGGTACCGGCAGAGGCAGCGTTGACAAGGGCAGCGGCGCGACCGACGAAGGTGGAGTCACCGGTGGCAGTGATAACAATGAAGGCCTCACCACGCTTGACGGCAGAAGAAGCGTAGCAGTTGTCGCCCTTGTGCTTGTCGACAGCGAGGGACTCGCCAGTGATGGCAGACTGATCGACCTGGAGGAAGGCATCGTCCGTGACAATGCGACCGTCGGCGGGAATGATGGTACCATCCTCAACCTGGAGGATGTCACCAGGGACAACCTCGTGGGCCTCGACCTCCTTGAGCTGACCGTCACGGAGGACGACAGCCTTCAGGGCAAGAGTCTTCTTGAGTTCGTCGACGATGCTGCCGGCCTGGAATTCCTGGTAGAAACCAACGACGGCGTTAAGCAGGAGAAGAGCGATAATGACACCGAAATCAACCCAATCCTCGAGACCAGCAGCGAGGACGGCAGCGGCTTCCATGACGAACTGAATAGGTCCGACGAAGAACATGAACTGAAATACGAATTAGATCGCTGAAATCGTTTGAACGACGGCGAGAACCAATTGAACTTACAAACTTGAGGATGAGGTTCTCCTTCTCCTCCTTCATCTGGTTGGAACCGTACTTGCGGCGACGGTTGAGAACCTCAGCCTCGGTGAGACCGAGACGGGTGTCGGTAGCGAGCTGGTCCTCAGGAATGACACGGGCACCACCAACGGCAGTTTCTGGATCAATTGGGTTAGCGTGGAAATGGTGAGCTGGATGCTCGGCGGTAACTAACCCTCTTCCTCGTCCTCCTCGATGTGACCGTCCTGGGACTCGAGGTCCTCGATCAGGGCGTCGATGTCCTCATCTTCGTCCTCCTCCTCCTCGACCTTGGGCTTGATGGGAGCGTCGACACCGGTGTCGAGAGGACGGTCCTTCTCCTCAAAGCGGTGGGACTCGATGGGAGTGTTGAGCGCCGGGGCGGCGGCTGAGTTCGACTCGGCCATGGCGAAAGATTTCGCGGTTGTATGCGTCTATAGCAATGAGGTGGTCGAGGGCAGTGTAGGGGGAGTGGACTCGAAAGCTCAAGCACTTGGGTGGTGGGGGGACTCTAGGTATTTGTAGTAGGTCCAGTGGGTCGAACAGGTTCTTAAGGTTCGAGGGCTGAGCTTGCGAGCAGGGCCTAGGAATATTCGGAGATTGCTAGGTTCGTTGCGAACAACAACACGCGCTGGGTGGGGAGTGGAGAGTGTCGAGGCGACGAACGAAGAGTGGGGGAGAGGTCTATCACCGCACGAATGTGAAGAGCAAACGTAAAGGAAGCCTTCGTGGGTGAAGAGAGAAAGGGAAGGAAGGGGAGAAGGAAGGAGGAAGGAAGGCTCTTTAAAAACGAAAGCAAGAGGCAGGCGATGGACAACAAGCGGGCGGCGTGGGACTGTGAGGTGTAAGTGAGAGTGGGTACAGCTCACGGGATGGGTGCGGGTGCACGACACGAGCGGCAACAGTGAAGGGCGGAAGCAGCGATGGGCATTGGGGGGGGGGATGGATGGGGGTGGGAACGGGGGTGGGAGAGACGAGGGCACGGCGACGAGGCAGGCAAGACCGACCAGGACCAGACCAGAACCAAGCGGGACCTAGCAACAACGGAAGAGAACGAGCGTCGAGGAATACGCCGGCGATCTGTCCGGGCGTGGAAGGCACAGAGGTGAGGTGAACGAGCGTCCCAGGTAAGGGAACCCACCGAGCCGAAAGCGACTTTTTTTTCCCTCTCTCACTCTGTGCTCATTCTCCAATTGACCTCAATCCCACTCTGGAGCTGGGGCAAAGGGGGGGGGGTCTGTCTCTGCAACCCCGGGCTAGAGCCGTCTCTACGAGGTGCTACAAACGGATACCAGGCACACAAGCTCCCACGATCGGCTTGGGGCCGTCTTGGTTGGCCTAGGGAGGTACCCCAGAGTGAATGTCAGGTACCTTGGCCTGCATGCCACCCGGGTGGGTTCCACAAATTCCTCACGCCCACAGTGCCTGTGTCGTTGCCCAGGAAGCTATCGCATCGGTGCTGCCCCGAGGCAGAACAATTGCCCGCAAGCAGCCCACGAATGAGGGCAAGGGGATACCACAGTAGCGCACGTAGCTCCCGAGAAGCTCCTACGGGTCCGAGGACTGGCGAGCGCGAGGGTTCAAGCTCCAGCTGCGGCCTAGGTGAGCTTGGGGGCGACGATGGCCAATGACGACGCCTGGAGTCCAGGGCCAGGGTGGGGGGGTCATGCCACCAACTCTCCACAGGGCGACACAGTGCTGGACACGGTTCAACGGCGAGAAACATTGGATCACTGCACGATCATTTCCGCGCATTTCAGACGAGACGTATGCATCCATGGAGGATAACTATGACAGGGCCTACTCTTAACAACGTTCCGCTCAAATGTGAGTCGGCAGAGAGGGTAGTGGTAGGAACTTTGCGGGTGCTGGCGGGGTGTTTGGCTCTTGTGTTATTGAGAATCCTGGAGAGAGGTTTGGGTGGTCGGGAGAGGGCGCAGAGCGGTGGGAAGAGGAGTGCATTGGGGATGGTGGTAGGGTGTCGGACATCCGTAAGCGACATCCTACCAAAAAGGCTCTGGAGATGAGAAGTAGGGGGTACCTGGCATGTGATTGGTG